GATGCTGAAGTGTCGAGGGAACTTGCTGTCTTCAGGCGTTGGCCGAGAGGAGGTGCATTTACAAGCATTAAGGGAGCTGCAGGTGAGAAAGCCAAAGCCCTGACAGGAGTGGGAGGAGCAGAAGCTCCAGGTGGGGAAATAAAGAAAAAGCTGACTTTGCCCACTGCAGCCCAGGCAGCCTGCCCAAAGCATTTTTATGACCAACCTGAGATTGTTTGTTGTTACCTTGCATGTGATTGAAGCACAACTAGGACGTGCAAGTCTTTATGACCTAAGATGACTGACTGTAAGGTCTTGTCCAAAGGTTTTCTCTGCACCCCCCCACCCCCACCCCAGCTCCCTGCTCCTACGGGCACGGAAGCAGGGTGTTAGGCCTAAGCGGTGGGGGTTGCTGGGTAATGGGGAGAAGCTGCTTTCTGAACGGATGCATCGATCAAGTCTGCATCCTTCCAGCTCAGATGCTCACACTGGGGCAACCAGCTCATCTGGAGCGTAGGGAAAATGAGGTTGGCCGGGCTTTACGCCTCGGACCTCCGTGGCTAACACCTGCGGCCGTGACCCTGTTAACACAGAGGGCGCGTGAGTGTGTGCAAGTGTGCACACCTGAGCTCAGAGGTCAGGGCTGGAAGGGCGGCGCTGCTCAGAGTGGCCGGCGGCGTCTGGCCTGTTTGCCCTGCTCACCGTTGAAGCCTGAGACTGACGCCAAGGCTCCAACATTCTCCTCAAAGCGCTGGAACCGATGGGGACCTACAGGGCCCGGGCGTTGGCACGACACCAGCTCACCCAGGATGCTCCGTCTCAGCCCTGTAACCGCCATGAGGCTTTTTAGCCCCACACCCTAGCAAAAAAACTCTGTCCCAAGAAGACCGGTGGTTAGTCACACTCTTCCAACAGCCCTGTCTCTCTACCACGAGGAAACAGAACCTAGAGGTTTGGAGAAAGTTCCCCAAGTTCCCCTGGCCGCAGACCCCTGCCTAACACTCCCGAAAGCGAGCTGCGCACACCACAACCCTTCACTTGGCCCCGTGTCTCCCACGGGGAAATAATTAAGAGAATGAAGAGGGAAAAACTGGACTACACTTGCTACAGGGCATGTGAATTTAAAAAACGAATGGTCAAGAATCACTGCATTAAGTTTATTAGACAATTAAAAGATGATGATGCAGCAAAAATAAAAATAACAGAGGAGGAATGAATGCCAGGGTTATACGTGATACCTACGGGGGATCGAGTTTCACATTATTTGTCAAGACGCTTGGATCAAAAGAAAATTCCTCCTCAGACTCACTGGACTCAAACAACTTCTGAGGGTTTTCTCGGTGTGTGTGTTTTGTTTCTGATGTGTGGCTCGGAAGTTTTCGAGAAGGAACGAACCAGAAGCTTCAGAACGGACCAGAAGCTTCGAGGAGGAAAGAGGAGCTGTGCTGAAGGGTTAGTACCACGGCAACAGAAGCTGGAGGCCTCAGGCGCAGTCTGATCTCCCGGATGCGCTCTGAGGCATCTGGCGTTTCTCATTAAGGGCCTGCTCCTTCCGCACGGTGAGACAGATGGCCGCCAGGATCCCCTGACTTTTAAAGAGAATGACTTCAGGGGCAAAAGGAACAGATCTTCCTCCTCATCTTGTTGTGCAAGGGCGGCTTTGTCAGCTGGGTCTTCAGGCAAGCAGCAGGGGCCCACGTGGGTGGCCCTTCAGAGGCCAACTGCTGAGGGGTGCAGGGGGACCCCGGCTGTGATGTCAAGTGCGCTTCAGTTCCCATCCTGAGGATCTTTTTCAGAATAATGCATGCAATTCCATTTGGAAATCCACACATGGAAATGTCACCTGACAGCAAGATGGGGTGTGTTAGCATATGTGAGCCTGGCGAAGGATGTTCTTGCTGAAACACTGGGACTGTGCCAGAATTCCGGCAGCCCGGTTCCCCAGTGCTTTGAAGATTGAGGTTGCTTTGCTGAAGAGTCCCCCTGAGCTGACTGGGCCCCGAGGTACAAGGGCCAGTACCGGCTCAAGAAAGCCACGGGCCCACGGCCTTTTTTGCCCCCCATTTTATCGATGGCCCCGAGGTCAACTACGTGTATGAAATACACCTCAGCCTATCTTTCCCATCCGGCCATGCTGAAGTCATGCTCCAATTTTTGGGAAAACCCATGCAGTGTTTTTGAGAGCTGTGGAAGCAGGAAGAGAGAACCCAACTTCTTGGTGTGTTATGAGCAAAGGACACGGGCCAGCTTCGTCTCCTCACCTGCGTGATCTCAGCCAGCCCGCTCCGCTCTCTCCCCGCAGGGAGCCCTCCCCACAGGGCTCTGCTACCTACTTCTTAGGACTCCAGTGCTGCGAATTCACAAGAGCCCGCGGGCTCCTGTGGCGCATCAGAAGCTGCCCTCAGTGGTGCCATGGTGTTTTGCTGGGCACAGGTCACTTCCTGGGTGTCTTCACCCTTCGGGGGAAAGAGACGGATGCAAAGGGACAACTATGATTACAAATGATTATATTGTAGGCTGGGTATTTGTGTCCTTTTTTTTAGGATTTAGTTTTATTTATGTATACAAGAACTGGGGTGTGAGCCAGAGCTGTGTGGGGTGGGGGGGGCGAGAGGAGTCACCAGCGACAGAGTGCGGAGCGGAACAGATGGACCCGCTAAAGCCCACGGCTGGGGGGAGCAGCGGGGAGAGGTCTGCTGTGGGTCACTCTCTGGCGGGGATCGAACTCGTGCTGCGGGGGCTGAGGTAGCACCGAGACGTTAACCCCTGCGCCGCCAGGGAGGCCCTGGACGAGGCACTGCTGAGGGGCACAGTGTGTGGGAGGTTACGCCGTGCAGGTCTGTATAAGCGTCCTGGGCCGGTCACTCTGCTCAGTAGGCCACATGGCCACGCCGCTGGGGCCACTCGAGTGAGATGAGTTAACGCCAAATTTAAAATTCAGGCCACACCAGGGCGTTCGGGTGTGCAGGGGGCTCTGTGGCTGTCTTGTCAGACACTGTGGCCACAGATTTCCAGCTTCATGGGTGAGGCCATTCCAGGACAGCTGCCACAGATGACGCGAAGCCACCAGCACGTGGCAGCGGGCCCTCCGCGCCCGCCATCCCTACTTGAGGCATGCCGGACGCCGTAGCTCCTCTGTGTCGTGACCGCGCTGAGTCACCAGGCCTTTGAGTTGAGAAGTTCGATTCTGTTAGATATGGGGGAGTTGCAGGGTCCAAATCTCAGGGGTGTCATGACTTGGCTCAGTGATAGCAGACTTGGGGGGCAGAACCCCCCAAGGGCCTACACTGCAATGCAGAGCCCATGAGACTTCTGTCTTCAATGTGCAAGGACGCTTTGCTCCAAGGTGAGTGACGTAAACCGCCTCGGTGCCACAGACCTGCTTTTAGCCAACAGGTGCCCGCCTCTCTAGCTGCCGTATGGAGACTTCTGGGTAAACTGAGGCAGCAACTTGTGATTACAGATGCAAGAGGAGACGCCTGCTCAGGACCGCAGCCAGCCCGAGCTGCAGCCTTCTGCCCAGAGACTTTGTCCACCACCCATGACAGGAAAATGGACTTCAGAACTAATCCAGAGAGCTTCACTGCAAACGGCGCGACACTGGACCTTCTTGCCCTGTCCGCTGAAGCTACCCCTATGTCCGGGCCCCGCAGGACCAAAGCTAGAGACTGACCGTGGTGGTGGATGAATCACAATTTCTGGCCTCTGCATCCTCCCGGTGACACTGCACCCTGGCCACTCCTGGGTCCGCAGCGGGAAGGCGCATGCACCCAGACACTATGACGGGACGTCGCCTCAGGTGCCACATTTCTCACAACAGGCCTCTGTCATGCAGTCAAGTGTAACTTTTTTTATCGCAGTGTGGCCTTGGCTCACACCTCCAGCCGGCCCCATCATTATCATTTGCTTTTTGGCAGGAGAGATTAGGACCTAGGTAACTCTGGGGTTTGTCATATGGGGTGACGGTGATCGCTGTGCTGTGCATTAGCGCTCTAGGATTAATTTATCTGGCCAGACCGTCCCTGCAGCCAGCGTGAGCTTCTGGGGGGCTCCGAAGGGGAGAACTCACACATACAGATTTCCTTTCCGGCCTCGGTAAATCTGCGTGTGACAGAAAAGACAATGAGCTCTCAGACTGCAGGTAAAATGAGTCTCAGAACTGAAAGCACAAAACAGGAAAGAAACGTGTCTAACTTTTCCTTTGAGGCTTGTGTTGGCAGACGCAGTTGATCCAGTGCGTCCTGAGCAAATAGAACCAAATGACCTTGAGCTGAGCCCCGAGGCTGACTGGAGCCGAAGCCTGGGTGGGGAATTACCCAGAGGCAAGGCGCACTCAGAGGAGAAACTCCAGTTTTCGGAAGCAAAGCCTCTTCCTACTTTTCAGGCCGCTAGTGAACGTCAGCCCCGTCCATGCTAACCTGCTTTCAGCCCGTAAAATTAACTCCGGTGTTCTCAACCCTGGTCTCCCGAAAATATGTAAACTACTTCCTTTCTTAACTGAGTTTGGGCTGATATTTAAACTCATCCCCTACTTCCTTGCCAGTTGATTTAAAAATAAAGCTGATTTCTCTCCTCAAAGAGCGGAGGTCATTCTCTGACCCATGGCTGGGTGGGGAGCCCACCGCTCCCAGACGCAGGTCCTTACTCTTCTATCCCGTGACCCTCTTAGGGGTCAGCCCCATCACTTACCTGTGAACTCCTGGTCGGGAAACTCTGAGAGGCTGGTTCTGTGAAAAAGAGAATCAAAGCTACAGCGTGGGGTCTGAAGATGTCAGGGGCAACAGGCTTTGGAGAGGAGACGGGACGGTCCCTTACAGACTGAGGCAGGCTTGCAGGGCCTGTGAACCAGGGCGGGGCTGGACACAGACCCAGTGCTGTGCCAAATGGGGTCTTTGGGGAGCGGAGGGGGAGTCAAACTGGCTTGCGTCAAGTTACCTCTCGGCAGACTCCTCTTGTGGTGAACCTACACAAATATACAGGAGGGACTTAGCACATGCGCACATGTTTCATTTGACTCCATTCCTCACCTTTTGAAAAAACCTTCTTCTCTGGACTCACCCTGCTGTGTGTACCGGTAGATGAAGACGACGGAGAGGAAGAGGAGGCAGATGGAGAGACAGCTGAAGGTGATGACAAAGGTGATTCCGGTGCCTGGGGGGAGGGTCGTAGGTCATTTTGGCTCTGGGGTCATGCAGAGGGAACTGAGCCCCCCAAGCATGGCACGGGGTCGGGGTGGGGGGACCGGGGGCGGGCAGAGACGCTGGTTTCCAATCTCATGGCTGACTCTCCCGAGTTGGAACCTCCACTGGCTTTCAGGGAATCAGCTCAACCTCCCTGAGCTTCCGTTTCCCCGTACAAAGTGAGGTTAACAGCAGCTCCTTTACTGTGTGGTTGGGAGTTCAATGCCACACTAACTGAGGGCCCAAAAGGTGACTCCAGGCGGCGAGCTCCAACATTCATCCTCAGTATCGCGAGCAGGTTAGGAGCTAGGTTCTGGCTCATCCTCACAACACCCAAGGTGAGTTTCCCTCCCCCATTTCATTCACATGTAAACCAAGCCACATAACCAGCCTGCTACTTGGTCAGGGTGGCCCTGGGTGTGGACTTCTAAAGAGGTGACCTTCTGAACCTGCTCAAGGGAACTCATCATTACCCAACTAATGAGGCTGGTACCAAGGTGACAAGTCCAGTCACAAACAAGGGCAAATCCAAACTCATCACCCAGTTCAAGAGTAATTTTCTATGGCTATTAGACAATGGAATATTACTCAGCTGTAAAAAAGGAAATGCTGCCATTTGTGACCATGTGGCGAATCTGACTGACACTGAGCTAAAGGAGATCAGTCATGAAAGGTCAAATGGGACATGGATTCTTTTAGATGGTGACCAAAACAAAGCAGAGAAGCAGAGAGGAGAGGATGGTGCCTCCGGCTGGGGAAGAGCTTGAGAAAAGGCTCTGAGGTCTGAAGTTCAGCATGGTGATAGAGCTGATAAAACTGTACTGTGTCATTAGAATTCGCTTAAAGTAGAGCTGGCCAAAGTAAATAAAGTAAAGTTAAATACAATAGAGGGGGGTCGGGGGTCCTTCCCCAGTCTACACATATAGCCAAGTATACCATACTCTCTGAATGTCTCTCCGTCTTATCTGTGGCTTATATCGCACTAACTCCAGGAAAGGAGGGGCTGCACGGAACTAGGAAATAACTTGCAGAATGGGGAATGCTCAAAACTACTCGCTTTGAAGCTCTCGGTCTAGAATCTGACTCATTGTGTAGGATAATGAAATTGCAGGGATAATGATTATTTTCTTACCCAACAGTCTACCCACACCCATTTGCCACTGACAGAGGCGGGTGATGTCCCCTCCCCAAGGGCCCCCAGGCCCCTTTGCCGTTCTTAACCACCCCAGATGGTGGTTTCCAATTCAAGCACCTGCATTTATTTATGGGGGGTGCAGCCAGGAAGAACCCAGTGTGTGTGCCCCTTCACCAGAGAGTATGTTGGGGGCTTTCTTAAGATCCTGTAGCTTTTCGCAGGCTGAACAAAAAAATGCCTTCGGAGGAACCAGAAAGTCTCACTCTTATTTCACATCTTTGTTCCCAGTCCTGTCCTCGTCCCCCGTCTCCTAAAACTCAGTCACTTCCACACTAATACTCATGGGAGAGTTGGCTTCCGGTGGCTTGAAATTCAAACAACAATCCCCGTGGATGCGGATGTGAGGAAACAGGGCGGGAGCAGCCTTATTCCTGACTGCCGGCTGCTTCTCCACAGAAACAGAGAAACATAAGTTTGCCTGCCCCTGCTGGTCGCCCCGCCTTGGGCTGACAGCTTCTTCCCCTAACGGTTCACTAGAAACGGGAAGTAAATGGTTGCAACACTGTCTTGAACCCTTTGAACTGGGTTGGCCCTGAGATGTCTAAATATCCTGTTTAAGTTTCATGTCACCATCGACACCCTGCCCAGGCAAATGACAAAGCGTCGAAGGTCCCGGTCTAAGTCACTCACATCACAAGGGATCCTGGCGTCAAAGTTAGGTGGTAAAATCCATCACCAATCTCTGCACGCCACTAGGCAATGGGTCCCCTTCCTTGAAGCTTTGAGGCATACGTCCCCAGGGGGACATCGGGTCGGTGCTTAAAGATGCTTTGTGCGGTTAGGGATTATGGTGGTTTCAATGAGCCCTTAAAAAATGCACTTTAAGGAATGATGTACATATTCCCTGGGGTGGCTGCAATAGAATAAAAGGAAAATAGTAAGTGTTGGCAAGGAGGTGGAGATATTGGGACCTCCACATATGACTGGTGGGATGGTCAATGGTACAGCCACATTGGAGAGCAACTTCGTCGTTCCTCAAAAAGTCAAACATACAGTTTGTCCCAGCAACTGTGGGAAGACACCCGAGGTGTCAGCATTAGATCTAGGGGCTCATGGGTGGAAGAGCATCTGTTAGAGGGAGGAGGGTGTGGGTGGAATATTGGGTGAGAAAATGGTCATCATCGTTACAATTTCCTGATCCAGCACAGTGAGTCAGATTCTAGACCGAGAGCTTCCAAGTCATCCTTTTCCTCCTTATGCCTGCATATATACCCAAGGAGATAAAAAGCACTCAGATAAACATTCGCCCAGTATTTGCAATAGCCAAAATGTACATGCAAAACAACAGCCAGCAACTGCTGAATGGATAAACAATGGGATTTTTTTCGATCCTAGAAGGAAATTTTTGTCAGTCAAAGAGCTGACAGAGACTCCTTGGAATGTTAGGGTAAGTGAAATAAATTGGTCTAGGGGCTCAGTGGATGAACCCATTTATAGGAAATCTCTGGGACAGGCAGAACCATAGAGGGAGAAAGGAGACTTGAGGTTGCAGAACTCGGGGGGTGACGGGAAGGGAGGAGTGACTGCTTTGTGGGTGTGCGATTTCATTTTGGAATGAGAATATCCTGAAATTGTAAGCCCCTGTACTTACAAAATACTGACAACAATGTAAGCCAGCAGTACTTCAACACAACTATTAATAACAATAAAAAGAAATATTGATTGACTCTCTAGATGCCACGTTAGCTATTAAAATCTGGATAAGCTCCCGTTTCAGCCCCAAACTCCCAGAGGCTCTGTGATGTATGAGAATCTCTGGGGACAAAAATCTTAGTAATTTCTTCATGGAAAAATAGAATCAGAGTAAAAGAATTTCTTATTCACCTATTTAGAGAATTTTAAAGCCTCAGCAAGTCCTGACCATAAATACTCCCCAAAATAACTCCCTGGTCCCAAACCAGTCACACAAACTCACCCCCATTCTTCACCCAACCTGATCATTATTTTTGTATTCTGCAAATTGACAGGAAACGCTGTGCTGCTGAGCTCAGTTTTTTTTTCAGAACTGGGTGTGCCTTGGCTGCATTCTCCCTCAGAGAGCAGGAGCTTCCCCCGCCCCCACACAGCTGCGCAAGTGACCCCGGCAGTGTCCTTGTGCCTTGGAACCCACGGGGTTATCCTGACTCGCGAGATGGACACCACGAGGAAACAGCTTCTCTGACCACCTTACCTGATTTTGCTGAGGGAGCAGCATGTCCTTTGCGGTCATCTAGAGAAGAGGTGCAAGACAAGAAAGAACAACGGTGATGTTGGAACCTGTAATCCTCAGGTCCTGGTCGCGGGCTTGATGCCCTCTCTGGGGAACAAAGACGAGAATGTCCCTCCACACTCTGGGGCTCACTGGTGCCCAAGCCAGGGCCAAGCTGACTCTCCTAAACGTGCCTGCAGTTGGTATTTTTAATAACAAAAATATTTCTGAATGGCACGGCTGATTTCGCCCTGCAAGTCTGATTCCTTGTCCACCTTCCCTCTGCCAGGAATGAGCACCGCCCTCAGCGCAAGAGACGGTGAGAACAGGAGACGTCGGCCCAAGCCTGACACGGCGCCTCCCGTTGAGGACTGGAATACTCTGGGCTCCCTGGTGGCGCCACAGGCACAGCACTATGACGCTGTCTGCAGCTGCAGCACGAGTTTGCTCCGCATGCAGGGAGCGACCCACGTGGCACAGCAGACCGCTCCGGCCCCGTCCACGGCTCCCCTCAGCAATGGGTCTCAGTGGACCCGCTTGTTCTGCTCCCCGCTCTCTGGTAAATCCCCTCAACCCCACATCTCTGGCCTGTACCCCAGTTCTTGTGTGCTTCAATAAAAATAAATCTTAAAAAAAACGGACTGGGGCAATCTCTCTTCGGTGATGTTGACCTCTTCATTTTGAGCTGACATAAGCTGCTGGGTTAATACTTTGTTCTGAAATAGCCTCCCTCACCCACATGGAGACACACTGAGGGCCCCTGAGGGGCGCCTCCCCTGCGCTCAGTTTCCAGGTCCCCACTTCCCTACCCTCCAGGCACATGTCTGTCTTCTTGGCTCCCTGGATTCCTTCCTCCCCAGGCGGGCCCCACCACGGAAAAGGAGCGTGTGCACCTGCCAGCCTGAGGGCTCCCTCCTCACCCGCGACCTCCAGCCACAGGCCCCCGCTCTCCTCCGACCACTCCTGGGAGCTCATTGTCCTGTAGGCACAAAAGTACGTCCCAGCATCCTTCGGCTGCAGGTGAGTGAGGACGAATTCAGTGTAGTTCCCTGCTGACCTCTGCTCATGCTTGTACCTGGGGTCCTGCAACTTTGCTAAGGCGAATGTCACATTCTGGAAGTGAGACTGACACGTCAAGGTCACGTTGCTCCCGCGTTCAACCACCGAGCTGGGCAAGATGCTGAGGAAGGGCCTAGGAAGCAGCTCTGGAAAGAATTCAGAGCTCATGTGACTCTTCATCTGGGGGACCACCAAAACCTCGCAGGAGTCACGGGATGGGGAGGGAGAGGCCAGGAGACTTGGGGTGTAAGAACCAACAGAGCAGAAGAGGGAGAAGACTCACCATTCCTCGGCTCGTCTCCGTAGCCCAGGCGGAGCCCTGCGAGAGAAGCTCTCATGAGGAGTGAGTGGGTGCCCGTCCTTGATTATAAATCGGGCAGAGCGCGTGTGACTAAGTTGCCAAGGACGTCCTATTTCTTGCAAAGGTTTCACTTGACCTTTTTCTTTGTTCTTAGTCATCATTCAGCAGATATGTTTAGTCGGAAAACAGTAACGCAAAGAGAGCTGTGCAATTGCAGATTATTCGCAGTGACCAACCGTTGGAAACACCCCAAGTGCCCAGCTACACGCGTGGGTAGAGATGGGCTATTTACAGACCACGGAGTGGCATTCACTGTAGCAAACAAAAGCGATGAGATCCCGCCATGGACGTCGCCGCCGATGGCCGTGGCGCAGCTGACGCTTGGTGAAGTCAGGTGGAGAAAGACAAAACTTTACGTGTGCGCTCACGGTGGCGGACAGCGAAGGAAAACAAAGCAGCAAAACAAACAAACTCATACACAAGAACAGAATAGTGGTGACAAGAAGGGAGGGCGGAGCGGGCGGGTCCCCCGGGTAGGAGGGAAGATTGCGTGATGGTGGTGGAAAATGGCTCCCTGGGGGTGAGCAGACTGCAACCCGTCTCGACGTTGACGCACGAGCCTGCACCCCGAAACACAGAATGCTACAAGCCCGTCGCCCCAGACTCAGCGGCCTCAGGAGGGGCCCACCCTGCTAGTACCTTTGGACTTGTGCCCCCCAGAACTGTGAGGGAATAGCCCGCCGCGGTTTTCAGTCATCTGGCTTGTGGTACTGCAACATGGCAGCCCGGGGGTGGGGGAGGGGAGGGCGAGGGCCCTTCGCTGCCCAGCTCGTCCCCAGGGCTGGGGCACGATAAGCTCAGTGTTGAGGGAGAAGCACCGCTGCGCAGGCAGGCAGTACCCAGGAGGAGCTGGGCGCATGCGTCCTGGTGGCCTCCACAGTCTTCTCCCGGAAGGAGGAAGCTGGGGCTTAAGTGCAAAGCCTAGAGCTCCTGTGTGACTGGCCCGAGGCTATAATCTGGCTCTTGCTGAGGCCGTCTGATCCTATGACGGCAAGTTGAGGATGGTGGCGGGAGACGGGGCTTCGGGGCTTCGGTCTGCCCAGGAAATTTCCTTTTCATGCATCGGCCCCAGGCAGGGCTCTTCTGTGCCCGTCCTTTGTACCCAGGCCCAAGCGAGGCCCAGCTCCGCGGCTTGACCCATCCGGTGAGCACGTCCAGCCCTGCTCAGGCTGAGCAAACGCAAGCTCAGGTTCCCCTTCCCCTGTGAGTGGGCACCCAGGGGCTTGCGGGGGGAGCATGCCCACAAACTCACCGACAGCACGGAGCGGCGCGCAGAAGCCCCCATTCTCAGTTCGCGTGTTCGCGGCACCAACACACCCCCTCTCACGGTCCAGTCCGGTCCCGGACACTCACCAAGACAAAGCAGGGACAGGACTCCTGTGACCATAGTGTCCCTTCCGCCTGGACCAGGAGCTGCTCTTCTGGTTTCAGTTCCAAGGAAGAATGGCCACCGAGCGCTCACAGTGCCCGCTGCCCCCAGAGGATGGGTATGTTGGCCCTGACTGCTCCCCACAGCACCTCGGGGACAGCTTCCTCCTCACAGCTGACTCAGGAAACCAGAAGCCATCAATGACAACATCCTCCCCACAGCCTGGGGTGAACGGCCACCTGCCCTGGCCCCATCCGACCTCACCTGAGGTCCAACCCCGACATTTTCTTTTCCAAAAAAAGATTTTTATTTTGTAATCATTCCAGAATGATGGAAACAGATCCCCACCCCCACCTCCACACTGCGCCGCCATCCCAGACACCTCGGCCGCAGCTCCCAGGCTGGACTTCAGGAGGAGGAGGCCAGCCGGAGGAGCGCAGGACGCTTTCGGCGGTTTTGGTGCGTTTGGCTGGGGCCTCTTGGGAGCCAAAGCGAGGTACCCCTCCGCCGCATCGCCCACTCCCATCACTCATCCTTTGCTACCTCCCCGTCTAGCGCGTGTCACGGCCGATCCAAGCCCCACACCTGCCTGGACGCCCCGCTCCGGCAGTCCCAGCAAGGTGGTCAGCACATAGTGGGCACTCAAGAAATAACACCGGCCGGACCCAGCTCCTGACGGCTGACCAAGGGTGCTGCTCCGTCCATTCACGCTCCAAGGGGCGACGGCCCGGGACGCCTGGGACTCCAGGTCCTGCCCTGCGTTACCCCCTGGTAAGGGGGCAGGGTGGGTGGGGGTGGGCGGGGCGCAGTGTTGGCCCAGAGCCGGCTCCGACCAGATGGACTGCCTGAGCGCCGGCGCCGGTGCCAGGGCGGCGACTGCTCTGGGAGGGACAGGACACCCTGCGGAGTGCGGCCGGC